TTGTCATTGGTTTAGTCGCTGTCACCGGCGTACTTTGGACCCTATGTTCCGAGGTTCGAGCCCCGCCACCGCCATCGAACTTTGATGGTAGGCAGCTCTGCTGTCGTCGCCTAACCTATCGGGGCATTATGTGGTTCGCCACTCCAAGTCCCGGGGCTTGGGTTTGCCGGTTTTACACCACTAAATGGCAGGTCCTCTTGACTATGGGGTTCGCTCCGGCTACTGTTCATCACACTTAGGTGTGTAATAAAAAAAGAATTAGATCAGTCTATAAGCCGGAGTCTAAATACATGAATGTGTAATCGGAAAAGTCGTTGAACGACGATGGCGAAAATATTTCTATCCGAAAAGGCAAGTATACTCTCGAATATTGTATACTATCGAGTTGAGATAGGGGGAAAAAATCGGATCGATGAAAAACAGTTGAAAAAGGGTTGAAATATGAATAAACAAAAAGATAGTCTACCTGTAGTTATTACAGCGCAAACAGTGACTGAAAGAAAACGTGACCAGTAAAGGCATAGAGTCACGGTAACTGTGTGTGTGTGTGTGTGTGTGCAAAATCCTCAAGTCACATCGATGTTGAGAATACCTCATAATCATTGTCAGTTGCGGTTGACGCACTGAAACACTCAATAAAACACCTTGAAGCACTCACTATCGACGTAATGTTCGCTTTCTGTGAGATGAACCACGTTTGTGCTCGTTGCTGTTTTTTCGTGCACATTATATGGTCCTCAGTTTCAAGTTTTGTGATTTTATTTCGCGGTTTTACTCCCCGTACATTGGAGAGAGAGTCTTCAGTACTATCTGTGATCAATATTCACGTGATCGAACGAACGATGTACTGTAGATCCCTGACATGAAATGAGAGTATTGGCGAGAGAGTGTTATGGATGACGACGTTCTTTCCGGAGATGGAATTTCAAACAGCATCCTTAATGCATTATATTGCAACATCTGCTCAATGCATAATATTATCTCAGTTTTTCTCCTTCCTCTGAATTTTTTTAATTCTAGTTTTATTCCAGTGGTAAACTTGTTCACTTATGTATACTTTCTCACAGGTCCCGAGTACGATTCCGGTGCCCAAGATCTCTCAGATGACCCTCAAGATCTGCATACCCTTCTACAAAACAAATATCCCGACCTGTATTCTAGTATTTTCCCGGTATCTTTATCCGGTGATACAATCGCTCGAAATTCAGATAACAGTTTAACATCATCAGTTTCCCAACCCAACCACCAACTGGACCGCTCTTCAGATTCCCTGCCACCTCCGAAACTATCGAATGTGGAACCAGAACAGAACCAATGCGGCTCACACTGCTCAACTGTGTCAGTTTCGGTCGAACTGGCACAACGGTTATTCGAGTGTGTGAATGTACTGTACTCTCATCAGACGGCCAGACTCCGTTCTGAAGTACGTGAGCTCTCACATCGGATTCGAGGATTACAGGTAAGCATGTCTGTCCCCGCGAATTTTCCAGTTTCTTCATATGTACATACAGTAATAATGACATATTTCTTCTTATTTTACTAATTTGCAGCTGAAATTGTTTTTTTTTAAGACAGCATTCAGCAAGTGCAGCACCCTCGATGAAAGACTTACTTGCAGGTGGCTGACTCCTGGGAAAGGATAAGCCGGTTTCATGGATATCCCTAATTGCAGCTGCCCACGCTCGGCAGTCGGCGGCAAGATCCGCGCAGATTTTGATCCAACCTGACTTCCACTAGCGATTGCTGTAGACGGAGCAGAGATCAAGTTTTTCTGCATACTTATATGCTGTATCTAACCAGGTTTTCAGCCGTCCACCGCATCGATGGTACCAAGGTAGCTTTGGTCAGGCCGTTTTAAGATGTAATAAGTATGTGATCATTGTGTTCGTCACCGCTGTATGAGCGTCCGTAGCCGAATAAGCATGGAACCCAGGTTTCTGACCATCTTCATCAGGGAGCTAATCTCTCCATCGTACTCTCTGAATGATTCTTAGGCACCAGTGATCGAAGATTGCTAATCGTGGACTTCAATTCGCCAGATTTCGCGGTCGTAGAAAGAGATAAGACGAACTGCTGCGGAGAAAACCCGTATTTTTAATCTTTAGATTGATATCCTTTTGACGCCTTAGGGGATTTCTGAACTGTTGAATCACCTTTTTGGCAGCATCGATGCGCACTTCTGCTTCATCTTTAGCTTGGCCGTTGGGCAGTTTGGTTGAACACATGTATTTAAAGATTTCGACGCATGAGATCGGTTCGTTCGCCCTCGATCGAAGAACAGTAGTATGTACTCTTTGTGATTCTGTTCGCACTCGAATCGGAAATCTGTACTTCGGAGGCACCACGATCGGTGTCTAACACCGAAAGGAAATGTGAAACGTTTTACATGCCCAAGTGTACGATGAACTCTTGAGATAGGAAAGATCGATCAGTTATTCACCGTTAATTTGGATGAACGAATAAAACTAAGGGGGGGGGGTAGGGGGTAGATCAGAATCTGATGATCGGTGGTGGTGGTGGTGGTGGTCATCCTATAAGCGCGGTTCTAAAATCAGGCTGTTTAAAATTCATCAAATCGACCTGGATTATGCATGTCTCACAAAGAAATGCAAACTTGTCTCACGCCCCCCCCCCCCCNAAAAAAAAAACAGATAAGCAAAAACCAACTGTCTTCATCCAGTGGTTATTCATCATTGCGAGAGCTATACTCCAAAAAAATCATCTCAGGAACACACCTGTTCGACGTCACCACAACCGGTTTCGTACAATCCGACCTACTACTAGCTTGGAGTTCGCTATTTTATATTATCCAGTCAATTATCCTGATGGGCTGACACAGTAATGTGAAGATGAATATTTTCTCCTCAATCTATAATTTCTATCTTTCACACTTGATGAACAGAAGCGTGTCGGTTGAGCCGTCAGTTCACTGCCTGTTTGTTCGTCTACTCGAGCCCCATCATCATCGTCACACTATTTTCCCGTCTGTTTTTCGACAACTCCCAGTCCACTGGGGGTTCCATTTTGGACATTTATTCAAAATTTACAGCTGCTAACCAGTGAAACGTTGTCATGTTTATGATGGACGCACCCGACTGATGATACGGACACCTTTGGATAGCACAACTTACGAAAAGCTTGCGGATGGTCTCGAAGCGTTCCGCTCTTACTCTTAGCTTGTAAAAACACCATGTGGATTTATGAATGACCAATCATCCCCCCTTTTTATACCGAATTTGTATACTGCCATCCGTCCACACGCTTCGGATTTCGACATGTATCATCTCGGATGTTGAACGAAATTCGCCAATGCGTTATGGTGCACGTATACTCTCACTAAGAACGATAAAGGGCAGCCAGTGAACTCGGCCTTGGTCTAGAAACTAAATTTATTCGTGATCTCTGTGAACCAAAGTTTGTTGTGTAAAGTACTCAACGTGACGCGGTTTAGCTGGGTGAAATCTTGTTTATGTTTTCTTTTAACAAAATGCAAATCGTTTCTTTTTGCGGAAGGTACACAATACACTGGAATGTAATAACATGGACAGTGGAACAATCCGATCAGCTGTTCGGTCGTCCAGTGTTTGCGTTCTACAAATGAAGTTCCGGATTAGGTCTGTTCAGTCGGCTCGATGGATTCACCCTTGAATGATAAAGCCAAACACTTTCAAAATAACTACTCGCTGTTGCTCCCAACACGTTTTTTCACTCATGTTTTCTTTACTCTGAGCATGTCAATAAAATTCACCGGAAATCAAGACTGAATCCTTCAACTAGGATAAAAATTCCGCTGAAATATTTTGTGACCACGTGATTAATTTCAGTGTCGCTCATAGTTTTAAGTGCGAACCCCATCACCGTCCACTTATTTCAGTGATCGGTTGTTGATCGGTTCAATAGAACCCATGAAACAGTGGTTAATCGTTCTCCGTGTATTCTCGTGCATTGTACTATGAAACCTAACAATGGAGCATATCAATATCGACTGTATGCTTCCTTCATTTATAGACAAATCATGAATCCGCCTGTCGCGACTGGCAACGTGTGGAACGAGAACGAGATCAGTTGCGTCGTGAATTGTCCAGTCAAATTGCCCGATATGAAGATCGTCTGACGGAGCTACACAGTGTGATTGCAGAACTACGCCGACGCTTGGAACAAGCTGGAACCAATGCGATCCCTGAGGCCGACGAATTCGAGGAACAGGATGAGCTGATCGATGATGAGGACGCGAACGCAAGCTTGCCCGACCCGCATCGCATCCGACACAAACTTGATTCGAACACCGATCAACTGGTTTCTCGTTCACGAGATCACGAGTCCATATCGCAGGTGGATGATGTGCATTCTGATCGATCCAGTGAAGGTGGCACTTCGGTGGGAGCAATCAACGGCGATCTGTTGGACACATGCACATTTCACACGCGACCGGACCGATTTGGAAACCAGTTGGATCTGTCCTCATCCGCGGGTGATTTGACTCACTTATCAGATGTGCTGGTATGCTGTGACAAATATGCTCGGTTTCAATCGATGGACAAAAGTGCACCTGTCACGAGACTGGCCCTGGGAAAAACATCTTCCGATACGGATCTACGTCTGCCGCAATCCGTGGTTGGGTCAACGACAACCGCCACCCCCGACGCAGCAGCAGAGACGGAGGGGATGAAAACAGTAACACCGAAGCCGCTGCCGACTATGCGGATATCAACAAATAGTACAGTAACATCTGCGAATACTATGGACAAAACAAACTCGATTTCAAACCCATCCCTTCAGCAAGGACCGATGGTATGTTAGTTTACAATATTGCTCATACTGTTTTTTTCGTTTTTATTCCCTGATATTGAAATTCAGTGCGTATACGGAAAAGTGAAAATGCACAAGTACCGGTAGTCACATGCAGAATCATCTCAGATGCAATAGCCGCGTTCCGTGTGGGTGTGTGCGCGCTTCATGAAATACCTCAGTTTTTAAGGCCAGGGTGTTCGAATTACTGCGAGAAAGGGTAGCAGCTTTGGTGAATGGGACGTATTCAGAAAATCCGTTGCCTATTTGATACAGATCTTTTTTGGTGTACTGTTTTTTTTCTCACAGTTGAAGGGCCGATCATTGAAATCACGTAAACCTACAATTCAACGATGATGGTAATAACCTATCGGAGCTCTGAGCTCGAAACTGCCTCCCCCGCCACACACACGCACACGGTGCTATCGAGCCAAACCACAACAATGGATGAATATAAAAATTATACAACGGTATTGTAATGTTTAATTAGAAATAAATAAACACTGGTCAATTGTAAAATAGCCCTATTTGCACTCGATTGCATAACCGTGCCAGTAAAAGGTACCATTATATCCATTCTGAAATCAGCGAGGGGTTGTCGAATGATGGAGATCATCTTTATCGAGTTCACATGGGGGGGGGATCAACAAATGCTCCAGAACAGGCCGAAAAATTTATCTGATTTACTTCTCCAGGGACTTCACAAAACCCCTTCTTTCCGGTATTCTAGAAATTCTCCAATGTTCTATTCCTTAGTAGAAAATTATCAAGGCTATGCAATTACAAACTGGAGGTGCTTTCATCGGTAATACTTTCATTAGCATTAGAATGATGTCTGCTACAGCGATTTGAGCTATGTGCTATGCATTTATGGAGAGAGAGAGAGAGAGAGTGAAATATAGCGTAGCACTTGAAGTTACATCTATAGTTCGTGAAAAATACGTGGGTGCCAAATACTTCTCGGGTGGAGGTGGCATGAACACGAGTATGGAAGTGCCTTTAGATTCAAATCTGGCCCGTGAGATTAAAAATATCCTTATCTTTCAAGCAGTAGCTCGGCGTGACAATCGCGAATCAAGTGATCTTTCAAGACTAATTTATTCATACGTTCATGAGGCAGTGAGATACCTGGTGAATCATGTTCCTCTAACTTAGAATTATGTCTTTTGGTGTTTGGGGATCCCACAGGGCCTATAATTTTAGATCAAATTCAAATTTTCATTATGGGAAAAACTTACAAAGACTTCGCTTTTACAAATCCCATAGGGTGTTTACACTTTGATTCGGAACATGATTTACAAGATCACAGTTAGTCCATGTAAGTAAAACAGTAATGTAATGTTTTTGACGAGCACAAGATGATATATTATGTGGCTGGGTGTTGAAACATAATGTTTGCCAGAGCATCATCAAGCTGACGCTTGAAAGATACTAATGTTGGACGGTGGTGGCCCGGTGTTAACGTCACCAATTATCACCTCGGAGGACAAGTGTTCGAATCCCACCACCACCGCCTGACTTTCCCCATTTGTGTGTGTTGTATGGCAGCCATCTGATTGGCCGCTTCCCCCTTCCTGAAAATTGTATCATTGCATATTCAATAAAAAAGAAGTTAAAATGAAAAGCAAATGTTGGCTCGCAGACCACGTGAGGTGGCAGAGAGTTCCATGGGCTGCACACTCTGACTGCTAAACGAATGGCGTCTGCAGGCGAGATGGCTCTTTTGGAGTGCCAACTTCGGTAGATACCCTCTGAGATGAACATTGGTTGATAGAACCAAAAGAGATGTACGTGGATGGTTGGGCTGTGGGAAAATTCGATACAGTAAGATCATATCATCTCTGATTTGACGATATTGAGACGAGTATAGCAGTGATATCAGCTTCTATGGCACCGCTGTTATAAGGTGAATTCGCTTTTTTTGGTGGTGGTGGTGTGTGTGTATAGGAGTCCATTCGCGATTGACTCACATAGTGTGGAAAAGACTCGTGCTCAACCCGAGGAACGCACACTATGCCAGGTAGGTGTTTTAGCCTTTCGGTTACGGATGTACTCCAATGATGACAATTGTAATCAGTAATATACGTTGTCAAAAAATTACTGAACTCAAGCGACAATTTGGATTATAACGTGATGGGGTTGTCCAAGTGAACGAAAGATCGATGCATTGAAAGTCCACTTTTAGCAACCGGTGTGCTTTAGACCCTACCACCCAAGGTTCGAACCCCACCACCTCAACTGCTTGGTGGTGGGCAGCTTTGCTGTCATCCGGTTCATTACCACGCCTGATCTAGTAGGGTCTTATGCGATTCGTCAGTCTAAGTCCCCGCGGCTTAGGTTGCCGATTTCCATCTCCGATGAGCATGTCGTTGTGACTCTGGGGTCCAGACCGTGTGCTGTTCATCACACAAGATGTAATGTGTAATAATAATAGTGATAAAAAGCAATAGTCAGTCACGCAAGAATCATCCAATTCGCATCGATCACTGCGTCATATCGCCCCATTGTTGTTCTTTGTTTTAGGTGAACACTTGACCACAACTGATCGAGAAACAACAAAGTTATCTGCTGCAAACTTATCCCCGTTTTCGTTTGCATTCAATATTTGTGATGGCTGAAATATCTAGCTCTCAAATACCTCCAATCCGGTACACAGAGGGCAGCAGACCCCTGCCAATCTTGCTGCTTACATTTTGCTAACAGGCAGTTCGATGTTATACTTTGTTTTCCCCTCGCAATTAGCGGTATATATATATATATATATATATATATGCACCCTCGTGCGTAGGTGTTTGTGGCGGCTGAATGAGCAATATTCCATTTTTATATGATTGCTTGGCGAGTCTGATCTAAAAAGGAACGTTCTCGTTATTGTCGGACCTCTTCAGCAGTGTCAGTGCGAGCTCACACAACACGGGTATAACATATGTACTGTGGCAACCCTAGTTGTATAAAGTGGTACAACCTGTCGGACACAATCCACAAAAATTACAGTGGCAAACGTTTGTCAGTTACAAAACCCTCGGGTTAGAGTGAGCCTGAGCTACTGAGTAAGTTCTTCGGTGCATTTCCGCGTGTTTGCACATGCCACGGTGCGGGGCGAAATTAGGCGCACTACGGGACGTATATACACACTAACCACCGTCCAACGAGGTCTATTCCTTAACATCCTTGTCACAACTTAAGCACGCACTCACGTATAGACAAGACGGTTGGCATGATCTTTATCCCAGGAATGAGCGTTGGATCACTCATTCATTTCAATTGTTGTCGTAAACAACATAAGAAGGTGATTGTTACGCGGAAATTTATTCCACCTACCAAAACCAAGAATGTCTTACCGTCGTCTGCTAACCGAAAAGGATGAATTCCTGGGCATTATTCTTAAGAAACACAAAGTCATGGAGACAGAAGAAAAATCCGCATCAGTAACGAGCGATGTTTGTGAGAAGGTAGTGCAATCTCATCAATGGATTACGTTAAGTGGTATTGGTTTCTGCTGGCGCAACATACAAACATCATCGTCCCTAGTCTAATTATCAAGGAGAAGGCAACTCGTTTCCCAACTGACGCGGTAGCTGACAGCGGATGATTCTGGCGCTACAAAGACGATCATGGTATTTGCTTGCTTTCGTCATATAGAGAGCGGATGAAGCGTAAACTGAATAGTTATGAAGCTCACCATATAATTGTTCCGACTTCTTTGGGTTTCATCAACATCCATGAACCAAATCGGGTATCGAACCCGGGACCTCGCAGGTAGTACGCAAGAATGCTGCCCACTCGACAACCGGGTAGCTGATCAGATCATTTACCATCTTGGCTATGCGCGACATGGCACAACCCACGTGTGCGAGCTTGTTGGGGGCATCGCACCTCGTTTATCTCAGCACTAGCCTCCATCCAGGATCATGACTTGGTTTGCAACATTCCAACTTCCTAGTTTTTTTTTCGCTTCGCGACTCACTTGCTCTGTACACGACAAAACCCATCACAACTGAATCAAATCCGTCTATATTCACACAAAAATAATGTGTATAAGAATAATAATCTGATGGTTCCCTGTTGAAAGCGTTTCGGGGTCTAATTGACTCGGAAAATCGGATCCCTCCTCGCGTTTTTAATGTGAACATGCATTGTTATCTATCATTTCCTCCGATTTCTTCAATACAAAAAAACGTGATCTGTCAACAGTGTGACAAGCACGCAGCATTCACACCTGGTTCTCCCAACTGGGCTACAGGCTGTTACCTAGGTAATGATAGCTAACACGTTCGGGTATATATATCACAGGGAGGTGTATGTGTGCACAGGCGGGCAGGTCGGGGGAGGGTGAAGTGGGAGAATTTGGAGCAGTGAATTACCGCGATGTATACCCCATGCATGCACATGTGTTCACACCAGCATGACATGACAGTGATCGACTGTGCTTGAATCGGTTCTGGCAGTGTTCCTGACTTTTCAAGTCAATTCCAGACGAGTTTTGTCTACTCAAGGGATGAATTTTCAGTCACGAACTGATTGTATTGCATCGTGTAGTACGATTATGTAACCAACGAAAAATGTTGTCATAAATGGTAAGATTTGATGCTCTTCAACATGTAAAATGTGGCAGATTCAACCTGTCGTATGAAAGTTGTTTATTTCGGAGCGAGCGAGGAGCGTAGGGTGGAGTACCTTATCACAACCAACCCACCTCCCTCCGGTCTATTGGATGTAGTCCCATTGGTAATCGACGTTATATGAGCTGGGAAATACCGTCCCATCACCTGATGTGAAATCGTATCGCCAGGACAGTTGAAGCCGAGCCCACTATGCATTTGAGCAAAGCATCGCATTTGAGAAGTATTTTTGTTTAACCTTTCACTGAATTTATCAATCTTAGTTCTGATTGCAAATTTGACGATAGCTAACCAAACCTGGTCTACCT